TATAGCATAACAAGGAATCAAAATGTTCATTTTATTTGTCAGTTTGAAATTTTAAAACATTTTTATCCATAATTTCCTTTGGCAAACCCAAATTTTAGCTAAAAGTGACAGGGAAAAAAACGTTTAGTATTAAAAAAAGACCGATGAGAGCTTCGTTCGAAATATAGAGGGAACTGAGAATGCGCAACCATTCTCAGGGAATATTGGATGCTATTCCCGTTCCCTCTGTATGGAAAATTGAGGTTTTCAAAGGGAGTTAAAATAATATCAAATTTATACTAATTTACTTCAAAATACAAAAGTATTTGACAGCTAAAATTAGTTACTTTAGCAAGCCTATCAATACCCTTTTACGATTATTGCTACTTTTTCGAAATAAAAGTAAAAACAAATTTATACTAATTTACTTCAAAATACAAAAGTATTTGACAGCTAAAATTAGTTACTTTAGCAAGCCTATCAATACCCTTTTACGATTATTGCTACTTTTTCGAAATAAAATAAATTTATTATCAAAAACCTTTTTTTCTTAGTAAAAATAAAAATGTTATTTTATATCAAGTTTTTATTCATAAATTTTTATAATGTTGTATAAATTTGAAGGTGGAAATCTGTAATAATTTTATCTTGAAAAGACTTGGCATTCTCAACAATGAATTGAGGGGTATTGCATCCAAATTCTGTAATTTGCGTGAGAATACTAAGCTTGATTTCCATTGGGATACTTAATTTCGAAAAATACTGGGTCATTCGTTTTTGAACCTTTGCTGCCTTGACAACTTTATCAAGTAGGTCATCTAAACCCAATTGAAGCGTATTTAAGTTTGCTGATGAGTTAACTATTAACGATTTAATTTTATCAGTGAGCATTATACATTTTTCTGTATCCAGTCTGATTGTAGACTTTTTTGGCTTTTTTTCAGATGGCAACGGATTTGGAATTTTGTCTCTGAGCCTTATATCTTGAGAAATTCTGTAATAAAATGAAGGAACGATAAAATCGATTAATTTCATCACAAATCGATCAAATCTCATGAAAATTGTTCCGCCAAAGTAGTAATATTTAATTTTTTTGTTAATCGATTCTGAAATGTTATTTGTGAGAGCTAAATTTTCATCTCTTTCAGCGGCTGTCCATCTTTCTTGGTTTGATATCCATTGATTTTGTATGTATTTTGAAAATTCTGGGAATTTTTCGGCTATTTCCAGAATTTTTTTGAACGTTGGTTCAATCCATTCTTTCTTGCCATTTCTGCCGTATGCAAGATAGTTCATTTTTGTATCTAATATCAATTTGTCTGAACTCTCAAATGCATAATCTTTCAAATTTTTTCTGAACGCCCTCATTACATGAACTGCACACCAATGAAGGATAACTTCTGGAAAAGAGTTGATAATCGCATTTTCGATTTCTTGTGCACAATCTGACATAAAATATTTTGGTTTTACTTTTGCCCAGTTAAAAAATGCCTTGAGACAGAATGCAATATTTTCTGAAGTGTTTGGATAAACGACAAATTGAAAAATTGGGAATGCATGTGTATTTGGAAATTTGGCTGATATCATGTAAAACAACATTTTAAATTCAAGTAATGAATGGGTTGCATCAATAAAATGCTCTTTCACAATTTTGATTATGTCCAGAAATTTGAAAGAAGCATAATAAAAGATTAATTTCTTTGGTTTGTTGTAATTATCGACATCGAAATAAATTAAATCTTTTGGTGACTCTTGTTCTTTGATACCCTTAAATAATTGAGTTGACTTGAATTGATTATCATCGTACTTTTGAATACCTTTGATCTTTTTATTTCCTTTTTCCTGAATTGTTTTCATTTGATCTGAAGATGCATTCAAAAAAGATGGCCTGTTAAGTGGATCATCCAGATCAAGTTTTTTGTCGCATTCAATTTGAGCCATTTTCGGATCACCCCCTGTTTTATAAAATTAATAAGTACCCGACGATAGCATTGTGATAATGTGTGGTATTTCTTTGTCTCATCTTTGATTTGATTGTGATTATGTGTTCCATTATATTCTGTTAGGATATATTCTTCATCATCCTTTAGAAATGAGATACATGCTTCACATTTATCTGCACTGCACCTGAATTTTAATTTTGTTCCCCCTAAATTTGGATTTTTTTTTAATTGATATGGACAACCTGCATGGCATTCGTTATCAATGACAGCTTTCATAGCATCTATATAAGATAGCCTTTCTTTAAGTTCGCATGGTGCATCGATATGCATCAAAAAAATGAAATGAAATTTCAATATCAAAAAAAGCACAAAATTTGAAAAAATTCACAAATCTCGGTTTCTGAAAGAAAATGGCCTCTTAAACTTTGTGCATATATTCATCTATAAGACACATTGTATCCATATATTATTTAGCCAACACAACTTATCTGGTATCGAGAAAATTCAAAAAAAGCACAAAATTTGAAAATTGCTCGGTTCTACATTCAAAATAAATTTCATTAATTTTTACGTACATATTAAGGTACTTATCTTCTACATATATAATCTTCATTAGATATATACATGATAAATAAAATTCATAAAACATTAAAAATCAAAAAATTAGATGAACCTTGGCAATTAAACTTTATTAAATAATAGTTGTTTATAAATTATATTATATTATCATTTAATATTATTTTGATAATGAAGATTTTATTTTGCAATAATATAAACGAAATTTTTTACCTTATGAACTTTTGATGGAAATATGCAAATTTAAAATAATAAAGAAAGCCGCGAGCGAAGCGATCGGCTTAGTTCGAAGATTTTGATTCAAATCTTTGCTGATCTGTAATTCGCGGAAGCCGCGAGCGAAGCGATCGGCTTAGGTCTAAGATTTTGATTCAAATCTTTGCTTATATTCCTTAAATTCTTTATGAAACTCGCAACAGTTCCATAAAAAAATTTAAATTCTAAACTGTCGAAATTACCGATCGGTAATCACATCCTTCACGGGTGTGTCACTTTTTACAAGCGTGTCACTTTTAGCTAAAATTACCCCTACTCCCAACTCTTTAAGGGTGCACACGAGAGGATCATGTAAACTTCAGAATTTAGAACCTTATTTTTAGGCATTATCTTGGCTACCTATTTTAGGCTCGAAAAGCAAAAAATATCAAAAAATACAACTTGACTCCATTATGACCCTTTCATGGAGGTAGTTTTTATCCGCTAGTATTTTCCCTTTGAATCTCTTTACAATTCGAAATCAAATTCAAATCTCAGTAGAAGAAAGGAAGAATCGACTTACTACGGTTGTAATACGAATAAATACATATATTTAATTATTTTTATTTACATAATAATTGTTTGAAGCTCATATTCCAACAAATTTTTAAATAAAAACATTAAAATGTTGAAAATGTTCATATATTTTAATAGGGTTTTGGCACTTTATTGAGGAATTACTACATACATAGTCGAACTGAACTTGATATTTTGAAATTTAAATTATTTATCAAAATTAAAATTTAACTTGAAATTTATAATTATTTAGTCATATTTTGCATAATTCTAAGTAGATTTTGTCAAAAATCAAGAAAGAAAAATTTTAACGTGCTTTTATTTTTTCTTTTTTATAATAATACATATTATTATATAATTAACATATTCATAATGTTTCACCCTTTCAAAAATATAATCCTCCTCCTCCTCTCAAATAAACGTACATACGGGTGGCCTCTTTTTTCAAAAAATTAAAATTTGAAATTTTGGGCTCAAATATTAGAGATTTTTTCAACCTTCAACGATATATGTTGTCTATATCAGACCTCCTTTCTTTTTGATACTTAACATTGTTCCTAAATCTTAGCCGTTAAGGCTGTTCTGAAAATATTTTTTTTTCGAAAAAATTCGAAAAAAATTCTTAAAATTCAAAAATCCCTTAATTCCTGAGGATTTTGGAAAAAAGTTTTTACATGAACATGTGTATATTATATGAAGTATATTGATAAGGTAAAAAACAAATTTTATTGCATATTCATCGAGAAAATAAACTAACGAATCCCTCAAAATTGAGAGGGTAATCCTCCTCCTCTCAAATAAACGTACATACGGGTGCACCCTTAATAGATAATTGTTGTTTGAAGGCATTGTATACCAACTTAAATTGATCGATAATGTGAATGAACTGAATACGAATTATTAATTTAGTGATATATATTGTAAAATTTTGTACAATTGAGAACATCGGTTCGATAATTTTTGTTTTTTAGCATTTCTTCAGCTCAAAAATTGAAAATAATTATGAAAAAAAATAAATGCAAAAAATTTGAGAATTTTGGTAATACAAGACTTATATAAAATGTTTTCTTAAAAATTAACATTTTGATAATATAAATGATTTCTGAACTTTTTGAATAGTTCACAAATAATTGAGAAAATTACAAAATTTACTGAAATATAATATTTATTATTAATTATGATTAAATACAAAATGTTACAGTAAAATTATAAATCAACAAAGCTCTCAATTTCTATCTTAAAACTTCAAGAAATAAATTAAATTAAAATATAAAAAAATTAATAACACGTTCAATACATATAAAATCCTTGGAGAATCCTTTTCATTATACATCGATAATATTTATTACTGGTTGATTTTGCAATTAATATTAATTGTTTCTTAAATCCATTTTTATACACAATTTTGTGAGAGTAACACAATTTTTTCTTCATACAAAGATAATATATTTGAATTCATTTTCTCAATACATTTTAATCAAAATAAAATTAATTTAATTGAAAATTAATTATTTCTGAGAAAAAAAGTTATTGAATCATTCATACTTCTCTACATAATTTGAACTAAATAATATTAAATCTTTTATTGTATGAAAATTCAAATTTTTGAGATCAAAATTTACTAATATTGAAAGAACCCTAAATTCAAGGATCAATCACCATCAATAGCCTCTAATAATATTTCATTCATTTAATTATATTATTTGAATTCAACAAAAAAATTATTTTCAAATGATCAATTATTATTACCCTCCATTATTTCCTGCGAATCCATACATCCCAAAACAAAAGAGAAATACAACACAAAGTATTCGAGATAATGAAAGGACATTAGCGCGGTTAAAGAAAAACGGATTTAAAATCGAATATGTAACTGCTTATATTGATCGGCAGTTTGGCACTCATGTTTCTTCAGCTAATTTACTTACCTTCGCCCATGAGCTTTGCGAAAAATTATCGTTAAAACTTGATCGCATTGCAAAACGTAATAAAAATGCTCTTTTCTGCTGGTATGCTGAAAATTGGCATATCGTTCAACCACATCTGAAAGATCTAACATTGCCCTTAAAACATGAAAGTGATAACCAAGACGAAAAGAATACTAATAATAATACTCAAGAGAATGATCCTATGGAAATTTCTCAATTATTGAATCACCATGATGAATAAAATGTTTGAGTTATTTCTTATGTATTTTCACTTTGTTTTAATTTTTTTTTATTTATTCAAATCCAATTAAAGTATTTAAAAGAAAATGCTTCAGTTTTTAATAACATAAGTTTCTTGATTCTAAGATATTCTAAATATTAAAATTTGTTATTATTGAAAGAAGTTTGTGACTTGATAAATATTATATTAGATCAACCGAAATGTAATATTAATGACAATGAGTACTCAAATTGATATTTTGCATCTAGTTTCCTATAAGTTTTGATTTCAAAATAATTGTAATGAACCTTGAAATTTAATTGAATGCATTTGAAAATGTATTCAAATTATTTGAATGGAATATTAAAGATGCTCATGATTTGTTGGTAAACTATCATTTTTTTGTTTAGTTTACAATTAATTTTTGTCTCAATTTCACATAATCATTTGCTTTTAATTATTTTTTTAGCTCACAGCTAACTTATTTACACACGCTTCAAACTTGATAATGTTATAATTCATAATTCTTTGTAATTTTTTTATAAATATTATAATTCATTTTGTTAATAAAAATTTTATTATCATTATTAAATTGTTTTGTAACTTGATTTTAATTCGAATTTGTTAAACATTCTTATATCATATGAATTTTTAAAATTAGATTATTCTTTTTGGTTATTTACCACGAACATTATATTATTCATTATTAACTTCTATTGCGTTCATTTTTTTTGATAATTGCAATCACAATGATATTTAGGAGTACTTGATCAACTAAATATGTAATAAACAGAAATTCATCAAAAGTGACAGCTCTCAATTTTTTGACATTTGTAAATTCTAAATTGAATGAGAAAAATGAAATAATACTAAGCATAATACAATATTCTAGATTTAATTATAATTAGGAAAAAGTTAGTTTTGAGAGTACTTTTCATAGGCATATAGAATGAAATCTTCTGAAAAATAATATCACATAAACTCATATTATTTTCTAATATATAACTATTTTATATAAAAATCAAAATCAATGATCTTAAAAGCGAAGGATAAACCTCAAAATTTACGAATATAATGAGTGGGAATATAATGCTTATCTATCATAAAACCATATGAAATATCAATTTTTGCTTTACGCCTAATTTTTGACGACAATTAGCAAAAAATGTTAAATGTTAACACTCAGTCCATTTGAATATGAAAAATAAAATTGACTTTGATTAAATGTTTTTATTTATCATGCAATTCTTCTTGCGACCAAAGATTTGAATAAAACTTCAAAAAATAAGATAGCTTAAAAAACAATATACGGTAGTGTTTACTAATAGATGAATAGTATATAAATTCTATTAAAATGGATTTGATCCAAAAAAATATAAAACCAAAAATAATTGTTATAATTTAAATGAAGAAGTAATTTAAAACGATTTTATTTATGATCAAATTTTATATATTTTTTTGGATCAAATCCATTTTAATAGAATTTATATACTATTCATCTATTAGTAAACACTACCGTATATTATTTTTTAAGCTATCTTATTTTTTGAAGTTTTATTCAAATCTTTGGTCGCAAGAAGAATTGCATGATAAATAAAAACATTTAATCAAAGTCAATTTTATTTTTCATATTCAAATGGACTGAGTGTTAACATTTAACATTTTTTGCTAATTGTCGTCAAAAATTAGGCGTAAAGCAAAAATTGATATTTCATATGGTTTTATGATAGATAAGCATTATATTCCCACTCATTATATTCGTAAATTTTGAGGTTTATCCTTCGCTTTTAAGATCATTGAATTTGATTTTTATATAAAATAGTTATATATTAGAAAATAATATGAGTTTATGTGATATTATTTTTCAGAAGATTTTGTGTTCTTCTTCAAAATTTTATTTTTTATTAAAAAGAATCTTTACAAAATATACATTTACTTTAATTAATATTTAAAAACGTGCTCTATCAAAAGTTCCAAAAATTCAATATTTTAGCTTTTCTGAGGTGTCACTTTTGATGAATTTCTGTTTACAACAAATATACATTCCACATTATATTACGCTAATTTGATATCAATTTTCATTAAAATCAAAGAATGATTATTTTTTCTAAATTTATTTCAAAATATTGAGAACTCTCTCAAAACTGCTTGATTATCGGAAATTTGATAAGATATTTCAATTTAATATTTCTGAAATTATCTGTATATACAAAGAGCCAAATGATTGGTCATTAAAAATAAATCGTATTACAAGTCGATTTTTGAAAGAAACCGACATGATCTCTAAACAATTTTATATCATCCTCCATTGTTCATATTCTTTTTCATCATTATATATATAAATTCAAAATTTAGTTCATCATCGTTGGGACATTATAGAAATAAATTTTGTTTATTTTATTTAATACATTTTTCCAGTTCTCTTCGAATTATTTTCTTTTAATGCTTTTAAGGATGCACTATTCTTCCAAAAATCTTAATTTTTAATACTGTAACATTTTAATCTTTTTTCCCTTTTACACAGTATGCTGATTTGATAAAGAGAAAACAATAGATAACTATAGGAATTCGATTGAACAACTTAATTTATCAAATGCAAATAATTATTTTTCTACCTTTCTTTCCACAGTTCCTGCTTTCTGGTAAATTTTAATATAAACTGCAATATAATTATCGTCAGCTTAACCATTTTTAAATCTTTTATTTTAAATCTTATTCGATAAAGAATGTTCTTTTCAAACCTAAATACAACTCAAGATTTACCACCAATATTAAAAGGATCTAAGGTTAATATAGATACCTATAAATATCCCTGCATTTCTTAAAGGAAAATTTCAATCTTAATTATTTTCACCAAACGCTTTATTTATCTTTCCATCCTTTTCAGGATCTTAAAAACAAAACAATCCTATATGTATATAATTCTATTTTTATTGGAAAATAATAGCTTCTGATAAACGTGGTGGCATTCTTACATGATCGACATGAATTGTTTCTTCATTCTGCTGAATGAACATAGCAATAGCCATCTGAAGGTCTAAGATTTGTTTTTTAACGTCAGCTGGATTTTTCTTAGCTTTCATTCTTTCAAATGTTGAAAGTTTTCCTTGCAAGATGTCAAGGAAGTTTGCTTCAGTCCAGTAGAATGTCAGCAATTCCAGAAGCCTTGAAGCAAACTGTATCTTCTCTTCCATCATTCCTCTTGTTGAAATATGATCCCATCTGCTTGAAACAGTCGAAATTCCATTCTGCAATTTCTCATAACACTCGTTAAAAGCTGCTAAATGGTTTTCGCTGTTCAAATTGTGATTTCTCATTTTAGTCCTTGTCTCCATGAAAATGCTGTTAACTTTCGTAAGTTTCTCTTTAATCAATTGAAGATCTTCTAACTCTGCTGCATTGTTGTTTGAGAGTTTGTTCTTCATGTGCATGAGGTGTCTGACACCTTCAGTGACTTCGCATTTGACTCCATAAAATGAAGCAATTCTTTCATAAGACTCATCTAATTCTGCTTCTTTTGATGCAATATCTGTTGAAAATTCAAGTTTTCTGAGGAGTTTCTTGAATTCAACATGATAGGTACCTTTCAAGTCATCAATTGACTCAACTCTTTTCTTTGATATAGCGTTCTTTTCTTGAGCAATTTTGATTTCCCGATTTAATACTTCAATCGAAGTCAAAAGATGCATGTTGAAGGAATTACACATCTGACCAAGATCATAATCAATATCATCAATAATTCTGGTGTTCTTGTTGTAAAATTTAAGGTGAATAACTGTTTTATCTAACTTAATTTCAGTGATATTGGGGAATAATATCTTTAGACCGATCTTTTCTTTATTATCATTATAGAATGTAACTCCATAAGGATCAATTGTTACAAACATGTTAGAATCGGGGATTTGATATTTTGTCTCGCCAAAATTATGGATTTTTCGCGCAAGCTTCACATAATTCTGCAAAATATGTATTTTGTCTTTACTTCTAACTGTTTTGGCTACCTGAAGTACTTCATCATTCAAAACGTAAGAAAATTGAGCGTAAGGAGGTATGTATTTGCTAAGATCGAATGTTCCGTTGGTTAAACTGTCCTCATCTAAAGCGTATGTATCAAAGACAGTCAGAAGAATCAGGAGAGAGTTGTCAATTTCAAGTTCGTTGTGCTCATATATATATCTTCTGCAATCATAGAACATCATCATTGACGGCTCCAATTCAGTCATTAAGTGTGGTGGAAAGATAAATAAGTAACGCTGAAGAATAAAACGATCAAACTTTAAAGTTGAGAAATTTAATGGTTTTCTTGGATCTAATGGTCTAGGATTCAATTCATCTTCTGTAGCAAAAAGCGTGTAATAGTCTTTGAGTATACAAATGTTGCCTTCAAAATAACTCGAAATTATATTTGAAACCTTGTCAGTGATGTCAATAGTCATTTCTGTTGTAGACCCAACAGTAACTATTTTTGTATTGATGAAACGAGGATATATCATAATTTTATAGGACTTGATATTTTCTATTGTATTCATTCCGCAATTTGGTTCAAGAATCAGTGTAGAGCCATTCTTGTTCATAAAAATAACAATTCTTTCTTGGTTATGCCCGATTTCAAAATGACTCTCTGCAATATTGACAATTTGTGCTGACAAAGCATCATAAGGATATTCCAAGATCATTCCATTTGATGAATCATCTTGTATTTGAGTATAAATCTTTATGAACGATGCCTGATTATTATCATTTACTTTTCCATCATGTAAACCTCGATGTCACTTTTGCGGCCGAGCGGAGCGAGGCCGCAAAAGTGACATCGAGGTTTACATGGATGGGTTCTATATATATACAGCTTGACCGGTAGAAAAGCGGATCGATTTTTATCAATAATTGGACATTCTATTTTTAATAAAATAAACATATATTTATATGGGAAATTAGGGAGATCTGAAACTCAAAAATTATTTTTGAATTTTAATGTGATGAATGTAATTGTGATAATATGTACATTACAAATAAATATTAATTCGGAACAACGATGAGATGTGATAAATTTGATTCTCTCAAAAATCGATTTTGGAGTTTAATATTAATTTGTATCTTATATGCATATAGGATATATATAATTTTAAAACATCAAAAAGTGACAATTTGCGGTTAGAAAAAGTCATCAAAACACTTTTAATGATTTGATTTAACATATGCATAGACCATCACTTTGATATTTAACTTCAATTTCCCGAAATGAAAAGGATTTGAACAAAAACAATTATTTTACGATCATTTTTGTAAATTTTTTTAAATTGAGACTGACATCTCTAAAATCTTCTAAAAAATCCAAATAATCAAAATAAAATAATATCATTAAAATTCCTCTCAATTTAAAAAATTTTTATAAATTGAGACTTCAATCTCTAAAATCTTCTAAAAAATCCATATATCACAAAACTCACAATATTATTTTTATTCTCAATTTCAAAAATTTTTTTGTACTGACTTTCTTTTTCCATAACAGCATGGCAGAAATTTGAAACGAAGTTTCAAATTTCTCAATCTTGCATTCTGGGCACGTAAGTGCCCAGAATGCTAAAAGGCGCGTAGCGCCGTCTCTGAATATCAAATTTATTATAATTATTAATTTATGAAATTTCAAATAAAATCGATCTGTTATAACACACTGGTGCATCACAGCCTTGTAGCTTATATCGGCGCGCAGCGAAGCTGCGCGCCGATAGAACGCGCTATATATAATACAAACTTGCTGCACTTTTTTCGCCGTCTTTAATTAAATCAAATTAGCTATCTAAATTTCATATTTTCGTGACTTATTTTTGACCATTTTCGGTAGTAGTAGATGAGTGCGGGTTGTGTGACTTTTTTTGTAACATCTATATATAGACGATGCATTAAAATATTTATATACTAAACACATTAAAAAATTAACATTAATTTTAAAATAATTTATTTTTTTATCTTTTATAAAAGAAGCTATATATAGATGATGTCAGATATTCCGCGATTAATTAAACATTGTTTAAATCCTGAATGGGTTAAACTTCAATTTAAAAATGAAGATTGTGAATTATTAAATGAATATGAAAGCCAAAATAAGCTAATGAGGTATAAATATAATGATAAAGAATATTTAATTTCATGGAATCAATGGAGTCATAATCAAAGACCTCATAAACGAGAAGAAGAAATTGAAAATAATGAAATGGAAATCATTGATGACATTCAAGAGGATGGAATTCCTAAATTTTGTAGAAAAACCTTTAGGACTAAGTTAGGAGCATATAAACGTAGAGTATTAAATCCTGAATATCTTAAACATCAATTTAAAAAGGAAGACTGTGAATTATTAAACGCTAATGAATATGAAAATGCTAAATCAAAACTGAGATATAAATATATTGGAAGTGATGAAAGGTGTAAAGATAAAGATAAAGTTTATTCAGTTTCATATAATAACTGGCACACGTTAGGGATAAGAAAACATTTAGGAGATTATGGGAAATGTTCTGAATTCTTCAAATCTAGTATATACGAGAGAGTAAAAGAAATCAGATATAATTATCATTCATGAATGAAAAATAAACTTTAAAAATTCATGTCTTACATTTTTTGAATAATTTATTTTTTTAATTCGTATGAAAATGAGTGAATCAAAATTCGTGACTGTGAATCAATTAATGAATAAACTTTCACCAATTCTTGAAAATGTTAAACAAGTAGATGTTTATTTCGATGATTATGTAGAAAGTTTATATTATAAAGGTAAGTTTAATATTAAACTTATTGCTTTTGCATTTGATGGTAAATTAATCGAAAATTCAAAAATTTGGGAATTAATTCCGGATATTGAATTTATAACAAATATTAAGGATAAGTGGTTTAAACAACAAAACCTTTTCACTAAAGTTCTTTGTAGATTAATGATTAAAACTGAGGAAAAAGAATTTAACGGATTTAAATATCATCCATGTAAAATTTTAGAACTTGGTAACGAAAAACTTCAGAAAAAATTAAACGAAAGACTATCAAAAGATAAAGTTGAAAGAGTAAATAAACTCACTAAAGGTAATGATGATGAAGATGAATTTGATGAGTTCAACATTGAACTTTAAGAAACTAATGATTATTTGAATTTATGAAATCAATTATTTGATTCATTCTTTCTTCAATAATTTCTATTCTTTTTGTTAAATCATCTATTTTCATTAATGAGGTGATTCTTGATTGAGGAATAGATTTTAAACTAACAACACCTTTTATTTTTGAAATTTTGAATCCATGACCCTCCGGGTCTTGGACTCTGTCCTCAACTTTAAACATTTTATTCAATTTACATGTTGTCAATTCTTCAAATAATTTTTTATTATTAGCATAATAGTCATTAAATTCTCAACAGATGAAAAAATTTTTATTTCAGTAATTGGTTTAACAACGTTTATTTTTTGTTGAACATTTTCACTTTCATTTATTTCTTCCTCCTCTGTTTCATTTATTTTTAAAATCGGTTTCATTTATCATTAAATAAAAAATTAGAATATAAGTGATGAAATATATTTTTTAATTAATATTAAATCAGAGATGGCGGCAGGATTCTTTAAAAAATTATGGGAAGGAATTAAGAAAGCTGCAAGTTGGGTTCATCAAAAGATTATTAAACCCGTTGCAAACTTTTTGGCACCAGTAGCGAAAACGGCAGGAACTATCATAGGAGGAGTATTAGGTGCTAAAGCAGGTAATCCGGCGATGGGAGCACAAGCAGGTAACGCAGTTGGTGGAATTGCTGAAGGAATACTTAATAAAATAGGGGGTTAGTGGAAAAATAAATAAATATTATTTTTATCTTAGTATCGGTTGTAGTCGATAAACCTTATCTCCTTTATTTAATACTTCCTTACCGGAACATTTGCTATTTGTTCAGCAACGTCACTAATTGCTTCTTTATTCTTAAATATCCAATTTGCTCCTTTCTTAATCCCTTCCCAAACTTTATGCGCTCCTCTTTTTACTTTATCCCACAGTTTCTTAAAGAATCCTGCAGCCATAGTTGATTATTTCATTAAAATTAAAAATTCATTTTCATCTTTTAATTTTGATTTTTTTTTAATAATAAATGACGACTAACTATTTAGTGCCAAACACTAAACCGATTAATGGAAATGTATTTCATTCATTCGAAAAGATAAATGAAATATTCGCAAAGAATGATGGAAGAAGATATTATAGAGAACTTGAAAGTTCATGCTATGACTCTGATGCTCCATATTTTGATGATAAACAAACTCATTTAAGAATTACAAATCCGGCTCATGATGTGAACCAATTAGGTGACACATATATTAAACGCAAAGTTAAAGCAACTCTAGTTTCAAATAAAGCTTTCACATGTGATGCCGCTTTTAAATGCATGCGTTTATTCGTTGGTTACAAATCATCAAATCAAAGCTTTAAGCAATTAGAAGTAGAAACCGAAAGAGGTGATGCTGGTTATCTTCAGATGGATTGCGCCCGTGAATCTTTCGCATTTGCAACATATAAACCAAAATCAGAAAGGAAAGTTAAAAAGTTTGTTCATTCGTTATATAATAATGTTCAAAAATATGATAACTCAGTATGTGGTAAATATATTGACCCTTCAGAAGTTTTCAAGAAAGCAAATGAAGAAGTTGATGTCACTTTTGATATGATTATTCCGGTAAATGATTTGTTAGCATTTCAGGCGTTCGATGATTATCCTAAATCATTTGGTGAAATCATTCTTAAATATTATGTTTTCAGGGATACTTTAGTATTTTGTCAGGTTGACCCGTTAAGAGTTGCTGATTTACAAAATTACGTTTATGAAAAGATAACTGATGAAAATTATGAAAAGATTATGAATCATGTTTATAAATATGATCGCAAATTCCAACAAATCGGACTTCCTGCCAAATTAATTACAAGCTTAGCCGCTACATCTGCTGACGCAACAGTTGAAGACGTTATTATTTCATGCACAAAGATGGAAGTTTTAGAGGATAAATGCATTACACCAGGATACGGTTTAATTGAAGAATCAGTTAAAGCAATACCACGTTTATTTAGTAAGGAAGATCCATTCATGATTCCAGCTCAACATATTGACGTTCGTTCACTAAATGGAGGTTGCATCACTCCTGAAGGTATTAGCTCAGATTTCTCATACGCTCTTCATAATGTTACAGATGTTGTGTTAACATTTCCGAAGAATGCAATGCAAAGAACGGTTTTAGAAAATCCAATGCTTCGAGGTCTTCAGGTCACTATAGATTCCAGAAACTTCCCCGATCAAGCGATGACCACAGTGGGCGACATATTCTTTACACGTATGCTTCAAGCTTCTGATTTAGATGGAGTGAATGAATGCACAGAAGAATACGAGGACTCATTAACTAGACCACTGAATGATGATATGGCACGCCATTAGCTAGAACATGGAAAGACCAAACTTCATTCTTATGCACTATTCCAGTTCAACGTGATGGAGCGGGTATATTCTTTGATGGATTAGAAACTTTCAACTCACAAGTTACAGTACAAGTGAAAGCTTATCCAATCATTCAGGGTGAAAATGACACTTACTGTTCAAAAGTGACAAATCCTCCTCAGGTTTGGTTTACTAGGACTACATATTGGACATGGACACCGGATGAAGGTTTGAAATATCATCCAACAGGTACACCACCGCAGTATAGAAGTTCATATGATGAAATATTGATGAATAGAAATGTTTAAAATTATAAATTTATTTTTGATTAAATGGATTTAAATTCATCCACCCCTTATGAAGAATTAGCAGGAGTATATAATACATACGTAGATGATATGATTAATGAAGCATTGAGTGATAATAGAAATGCTCTATCTAAGGAAAAATTAATGAAAATTCCATATTCTGAATGTTACTTAAATTCAATCACTGCAGCAATTGGTAAACAAAATAAAGGTAAAACATTAACGATATTAAAACAAATTATCATTATTGCTAACACTTCACCCTATTCACATGTGTTAATTTATATCAACCGTTCAGGTTCACCTTCAGATGATACATTTGAATCTTTAAAGCATTTAATCAAAATTCCAATTATTTATTTATCACAAGAAGAAGCAGAAGATTATTTAAAAAACTTTGTAATGTATAAAGAATTATATAATACAATCAAGAAGCAAGGATTAGAGGATAAAATTATTGATAAACAACGGGATGAATTATTTGAAACACTTTCTATTTCAAATTTTGATAGAGAATTTTTGCATTCACTCATTTTTCTAGATGATGCGGTGAAATCAAAACTAATAACTAATGAGAAATCATATTTTAATCAATTATTAACTCAATGTCGACACATTCAGTGTTCATTCTTCATGGCTGTTCAATACTTTAAAGCATTAAGCACAAACATTAAATCAAACCTGTCCACCCTTTTCATTTTCAGTGGTTTTAGTCGTCAACAGTTGAACGTTATGCTTTATCAAGTGAATTTACCAATGAGCATTAATGAACTTTACACACAATATCAACAATTAGGAGAACATGGAAAAATAATAGTTGATTTAAATAAAGGTTCCATTAAATTCGAATAACTTTTTATAATTAATTTTTATTTTTTATTTATAATTAAACATGACAGAAATTGCAAATCTTCTACAGGTTCCATTAAAACAAGGAACAAACAAAAAGGGTGCATATAATAGAACTATGAAAGTTCCAGACGGAATGAAAGAATTAGTCCACATTGTTGCCGGTCTTCAAAAGGATGTTAAACAAATGAGAAACGTTTTAACATTACCAGAAGCTCAAGCATATGCCAAACGTCACGGACCAAATTGGGAAGCACACGAAGCAGACATTACGGGTCCAAATGGAAAACCTGATGGAATAAATGAAGTTTTCGTTACTGATGGTCAAGGAAATATTAAAGTCATAAATGGGTATAAATTAACAATGACGGATTATCCTAAACGTAAAGCATATAATGAACATTATCCTATGCAATTTGATGAAAATGGAAAAGCTGTTAAACAATACATTGGAGAAGGTGAAAATGGTCCAATTAATTCATACCGTCATAATCCATATTCTTACTTCAATGAAGAATTAAATGCTATTGAAGAGGGACCGGATGGATTACCACGATATTCTAACCAGTTTGATGGTCAATATGCAAATTTAAGACCTGAAATTCCAGCTAAGAAATTCTTTAAAGTTGCTTTATTCGATCCAGTTTTCGCAAATGTTAAAGATGAACTTAAACAGCAATTCCAACCAATTATAGTAGCAAGAATTGCATCAGGTGCTTTATCTCAAGCATTCAAAGATTTAATTAAGAAACCATTATATCAGCAACGAGGTTTAACTTATGATTTAGTTAAGGAATCAGATAAAAGAAAATTTGAGAAATCAGATGATTATAAGAATGCAATTAATGAATATATTCGGTCTATTAATTTCGATGAAAATGCTAAAAATCAACTTCATGAACAAATACAGGAAATAATAGATTCAAAAGTTCCAGCAAAATAAAAGTTTAAATATATTTTTTTATTCGAATATAAATGAGAAGACGTTTCACTAGTCAAAAGAACACTAACGCAAAAGCAGAGATTACGGTTGGTTATAACGTAAATGATGATAAATCACGAATTATTCAAAATGTTAAAGTTAATGTTAGTCCTGAATTAACAAGGTCAGCAACTCAACCAAATTTATTAACTCGTGACTTACCGAAGAATGAGGAGGAAGAAAATAAAGAAGATGGAGACCCAATCATTTTATCTGAACCTGGTAAAGAACCTGTTGAAATTCCCACTTATCCAACATACCCCACCACTTGATAACCCAGGAATCTACGATTACAGTCGCAATGCGCCATATAAAATAGACATTAATTCTGAATTAATGAAAATTTACCGTGATATCATAACTGATAATTATGATTCAATAATAAATTTAATTGACCAATCCGGTTTAATTATTTTACCTTATGAATCATTAATTCACATTATCGCCATTCTTTGTGATGTTCAAGATTCAGACGTGAAGATTCAATTTTTCATAGATGATGAGGTTTCATGCTGCGGAACAGTTGCAAAAATAAATCCTATAAAGGATATTAGCACAATTAAGATATCAAAGAACGGAACAACAACTGAACTTCATTTAACATATAATGATATTTATAATAAAATAGTTGATGAATATAAAATATCACTTGAAAAATTCTTTGTTAAGGCTATTTAATATTCAAGCATTAACATTATCGAATAATAATCCTTTGAATCATAATCGATAATAATTGACCTTTCACCAGTTTCTATCGTTTGTTTTATTTCTTTTTGTTCCCCACTATCCGGATCGGTCATTGTAATTGTTTTTGTTATAGTATCAGCTTTATCTTTAACTTCAATCTTTTTTCCATCGGGATATTTAAACCAAAATTCCAAAAATTCGATATTGTCAATCTGTTCATATTTTAATCTATCAATTACATTTTTAATACCATCTGAAAATCTTATGAAATGGTCATTATATGGGTTTGATTGAACTAAATTTGAATGAAGTGAAATATAACCTGATGATGAATATGACATCGACTCATATTTTCTGAAAACACTAAAATTTATAACATGAATGAATTTCTTATTCGTTGAATTTATGAATTCTTGAGGTAATCTTATTCTAGTTTTATTTATCACTGGAAAATAACGCTTTACCATATTTTTAATCGTAATAAAAAAATGTCAATTATCAATATTATTTCGAATAATAACTGTGAATTAAATTTAACAGTTAGTGGAATTTATAATGTTACTCTCGTTTCTGTGAGTGGTAAATTTAATCCCATTCTTTTAAACCCTTCAGATTATATATCATTTATTAAAGATGACCATGAGCCGCATAGCGGCGGGGTCGTAGACCTAAAAACGTATGATATGTATATAAATAATGTGATAACGAAATGGGATATTAACACAATTTTAAGTTATTTAAATGAATCATTTATCGTATGGTATGAAGAAAATTTTAAATCAAAACCTGATAAACTTTTTGAACTTGATGAAATAAATAACCTTATTAAATTTCCGCTGAAAATTAAATTTTGTACTCCTCGTCTTCGTTCATTGTTGGGGATATTAAATTTTGAAAAAGATGTTGGGGATGTTTTGTATTCTGACACTGGTTCTAATTTCATTTTAATCAAATGTGATAAAGTTAATACCCCAATGAGATTTTCACATCAAACATTAGACCCTAACTCTTACCCATCAATACAAAACATTTTATCCATCAACTTAAACACATTTTCTTTATCATATCCGTTTCAATTATCCGGGAATTCATTTATTCTTCATTCAAAAGATTTATCAAATATTAAATTTAGAATAACTGACCTATTTGATTGTGATTTAGAATTTATGAATGAAATATTATGGCAATTTCAAATAGAAAAAATAGCTGATGAGATAACAGATTAAATATTTATTTTAAATCGTAATAAATGATTAAACAACAGCAACCACAGACCATTACATACGCCACATATGCATATAATTCAAAGACGGCAGAACAAACGCAAATGTTGAAATATGGAGATTTGGAGATAGTATTGAAAAATGACCATTTTGAATTCGTTTGCAAAGGTGGTGCAGTGATATCAAATATAAAAGAAATTTTATTTATGAATTCAAAAATTAAAGGAATAACGGATGATATAACATCAATTCCACCAGAAGAACAAAGATATTACGCATTAAATGCATTTCCTAAAGTTTTGAAGATTGGAAGATTTAATTTAAATGAGGAATTCATAAAAGGTTTCCTAAATGACATAATGAAGAAGGCAGATAAGGAATATGTTAACGATGAGTTAGCAAAGAAAGCAAATATATCATTTGTTAACGATGAGTTAGCAAAGAAAGCAGATATATCATTTGTTAACGATGAGTTAGCAAAGAAAGCAGATATATCATTTGTTAACGATGAGTTAGCAAAGAAAGCAGATATATCATTTGTTAACGATGAGTTAGCAAAGAAAGCAAATATATCATTTGTTAACGATGAGTTAGCAAAGAAAGCAGATATATCATTTGTTAACGAAATATACCAAAGTTTGATAGGAACAAAAAATATTGAAACTATTGTTGGTGACTTTTCTGTCAATGAAGAAAACAAATATTTTAGATGGGAGTTTGTACAGTCCTTAAGAAATGGTATACGGTATAAACTCATTCCGAAAAATAACAATGAAATGTATGTAGGCTATATAAAGAATAATGGCACACAAGTTAAAGTTCCATTAGACAACAACTGCTACTTAAACTTATATGGAGACGAACAAAAGAAATATTTAAGAGTTTATGAAATGACGGATATGACATTGTCTAACGTAGCTCCAGCACCGTATTATTATGACTATGGTGTTGACGCACATGTAGACCCAAAAAAGCAAACATTATATTTAGAATATTATAGATATAAAAGATATAATGCAATAGAAAAAACGAGAATAGTATACTATTATGAAGATGACAAAAATAAATATTATAGTCAAGATTTTACATACCCTGAAAACATAAGATTATATTATAAAAAATATTCTGACACAAACCAGAAGAAACCCGAAATAGTTACACTATATTTTAAGTTCAAAAGAGACAATCCTATAATATCTCATATGTTTGATTTAATGAACCCAGTAGGTTCTATTTATACATCTATGGATGCAAGAGGTCCTCAAGTAATGTTTGGTGTTGGTGCATGGGAACAAATAGTTGACAGGTTTTTGTATTGTGCAAACTCTTCAAAGGAAACAGGGGGAAGTAAAACAATTACGGGTGAAAATTTACCTGCACACAGTCACTACATAGATTTAAGCACATCTCAAGCAGGTTGGCATAAGCATAGATATTGGGATTGGTCAGGAATGACAAAAGGTAAAGGATATGATGTTAAAGATGATGTTAAATTTGCCATAAATTGTTACTGGAGTGACACTCAGGGAGAAGGAAACCATACACATCGCGTTTCAGGATATACACAAACAACGGGACAAAGTAAAGATTACATGCCACCATTTATGACTGTATTCGCATGGTATAGAGTTCAATGAACGCTCAATGTTTGTGAAACAAACTTTAGGAGCTCCAAAAGAGCAAACGACATAATTTAAATTTTTATTTTAGTATAAATGAAGATTCTACCATATGGTGTTATTGGAAGAGATAAAGATGGAAACCCAATATTTGATCCAAAGTTAAAATTAAAGTTACTGACAAGACAACAACTTGAAAAGTTGCTGAAACCAAAAAGGATGAAAAATGAGAAAATGAGAAAATGAGAAAGAAAAAAATTTAAATTATGCAATTTTATTTTATCATAAATGACAAAATTAATTAAGCCAACTATTTCTAAATTAATGATACCAATGAAATCATTTCATGGAGTACTTATCCCAGGTTCTTCACAATTAGCCGGGGCAAGTGTTGTGACTCAAGGTGGAACATTAGCGAATCCATTCAAATTATTAACTAAAGATGAACTTAATAAAATGATGATAAAATAACTGATAACAAAATTTTATTTCACTACTACCATAAAAACAGGTGAAAAAACAGGTGAGATCTCACCTAGCCGCTTTGCGGCTCTGACCCTTTGGTCTCTTCACCTAAATTATATTTTTGGTCAAAGCTTCCACGAGAGAAAAGATTCCTCATTCGCTAAGGATTCCAAAAATGAAAAAATCATTGATTTCGGCTGAGAAAAAACAGCAAAACCCTTCTTCCACGGGAACAAAGAAATAAAGAAGAAATAAAGAAGAAATAAAGTAAATTTTTTATTTATTCCCGTGGAAGATAGAGCACTTTTATGATACTTTTTATTCACGACAAACAAGACAAATAAAGAAAATGAGAAAATACGGCGCTGTCGCGGTTCGAACCACAGACCTTGACCCTCCATAACACCACCTTAGACCACTGTGCTACGTAGCCTGTCGACATAAGATTTTATAAATTGCATATTTGACGTAAATTTATTTCCCAGTTATTCAAAAATAATTAATTATTGAATGACCTGAAAACATTAACGTAAACATTAACGTAAACATTTATTTCCCCGACTGTTGTCAAAATGTCGTGTTGTCACACTTTTTCAGAGAAGTTAAATGACCTGGTAGCACATGGTAGCATGGTAGCACCTTCAGTTCTTCAAAAAATAATTAATTATTGAATGACCTGAAAACCATGAGACTTTGTCTCCGGACTCTTTGAGTCACTTAACGATAAAATAACTGAAAACAAATTTTTATTTTTATCATAAATGAATACCCCACAAGCTCAAAATTTACCACGAATCATAACAAGGGAGGAAATGATAAAAATGATGCAAGAACATGTTAAAAATAACAAACCACTAAAATTGAGAAAATGTGGTTATGCGGTAATGATGGAAAGAGAGATGTTGTCGAAGAGGAATAAAAATTAAATTTGGATAGAGTTTAAAAATTCATCTTTATTAAATTCATCTCTTCCAATCAATTTATTTATTCTATTAAATTCTTTTATTTTTGCTTCACTCAGTTTAAGGATTGAACGATAAGTTTCTAATTTTTCGATTATTTCTTTCCTCTCTTTATCGTTTTCAACCCCACCGCATTGTGGCTTCTTTTTGTAATAGCATATTTTTGATTTAATTCTGTTTAGTTTCTTTTTATATTCATCGTCTGGACTCTTGGATGCTTCGTTGTCACTCATTTCTTACGAATTAAAAAAATTAAATATTATTTAAATATAATGGAGTAATAAAATAAATCGGAATTTCTATTAATTTATTGTTAACCTCAACTAATGCATTGCCGTTAATATATCTAACAAATTCAGCTATTGTGTCAAATCTTCGTCTTCTTTTTGTCATTAATTTATCAGTTTTTCCATAATCGAGATGAATTAAAACTTTATCTCCTTGTTTAAAATTCATGAGCCCCGAATTAATTTGTTCACGTTTAACATCATTCAACCTTTCCATTTGCTTTCTAATATATTCCCATTCTTTTGAAATATCATTTTTCATTTCCACCGGTTTCATGTTTATTGTTCTATGCCATGTATTATTGTAATAATATACTAACTGCTGTATGATGGAGTCATGATTTCCATCCCAGTATATCTGACCGTTAACCCCTAACGCATCTCTAAGAGTTCTCATTACCGCATCAACTATTTTATTATGAAACGTATATGGAGAGGATGAAAAGTAAAAATTAATTTGTGGGAAATAATGAGCATAGCTGCCTGAAATCCTTTATCACCATCACCCCTTATATTATCTACTCTTTCATGATCTAGTAAGTATTGAATAGCTCTTCTTGTTTCCTGTTCTGTTTTCCCTTTCACCGGAATGCAATATAAATATCTGGTGTTAATGTTAATGGCAAATAAATAAGTAACGTTTCCTCTTGAATATTCTAAATGATCGATTTCGTATGAATATGGATATGGTGCAAATGAAGGGCGACTAAATTTTTCCTTTAACGGTTGAATTTTTGGGTCAATTGGTTTATTTAATATTTGAAATCCTTTTTAAAATCTTTTTGCTTCTTTAATGTTTGAAATGGATATAATAAAGTGAATGATGAAGGATTAACTGAAGGAGGAGGTGGTACTGTCGTTGGAGGTTTGGTGTTGCAGGTGGTTTAATTTTATCTGCTTTGATTTTGGATTTCATTCCCCCTTCATTAATTCTGGATGTATTCTATTCATTTGTTTTAAATATGCTGTATATAAAGGTTTGATATACTTTCCCGCTTCGAGTTTATGTTGAAGGATGAATTCCAAAAGTTGATCTTCATTTAAAAGTCGGGCTGAATATGGTTTAACTAATGAATCATAAATTAAAGCTTGTGCTTCATTTATGGTCTGAAGGACCTGGGCGTTTTGCACCTTTTGTTTTTGTTCCTTTGGTTTTTGCGGCTCAGGATTATATAATTTATATAATTTATATAATTCATCAATATCTTCTTCTGTTAATACTTTATTTTTGAAATCTTTCAATTGTTTAAGTTGTGATTTACTTTTTCCCTTTGAATATTCATTATTTTTAATTTTGTCTTTAATTTTAGAAATTATTTTATCATGATATTTCAAAACTTCATTTTTATAATACGAATAATAATAATCCATATCATCACCCGTTATATTGTTATCATGTTTTTGGAGATATGATTTTAATTCATAATAATTAAGAAAATTTTGATTAAGTACTAAATCATCAATTAAATTTTTAAATCTGTTATCCATTTATATAAAAATAAAATAAATGTTTTAAGGGTGCCCACCTCTTTGAATCATAGTATCAAAACCATTATTAACGGTTCCTTTTGTCTCTTCTGTGGCATTTTATTAAATAAATGGCATACAACATCCATTTTCACAACATACAGCCTTAGTGTGTGCTCCTGTTAATGCAGTCTTACCGATTGTTAAGCGAGTCATTGACCCGTTTTTAAGTTGTAAATTAATATTCTGACCATCAAATATCACTTTATCATTTATTATATCCAAATAATTTTTAGGTGTTAATTGTTTATTTTGTCGTAAACTAACACCTTTCATTTTTTGTGCAATCTTTTTAAAATCACTTCCATCAATTGAACCGTTGAATGAAGTATAACACTTAGGACATAAAGCAACCATGTTATCACCTTGTTTCTCAATTGCTAAACCCAATAACTTCTTCTCATGTGCTTTTTCTTCAGCTTTATTCTTTAATTTAGGTTTAAATTTCTCATTAAAACAGAAGAAATCAAAAGGTGCGAATTTGTAAATGTTTTTATCATAAAATTTTTTATCGGTTACAATTGCTTGAAATGCTTGAGTGTTAGGAAGATTTGGGTCGCCAGCGATTGCCCAATAAGATGAATCAGTATCACCTTCAATGAAATGAAAACGATTAACATCCATGCATTTATACAAAAATCATAAATGAAAACCAAATACCAGTATTTTGCGTTATCTAAAGTGAAGAATGCCTCTTGTAAACATGTATCACATCTATAAAATCTATCTTTAAGCATCACTTGATACGTATCCTCTCCTATTTCTCTTATGTTTTTAAACTTATTTGACATACATGCAACGCGTGCCTTCTGTGCATTCATTATTTTAGTCTTTGCGTAATTTTGTGTATTCATTGCATCGTAACCATATGATCCATTAAGTGAAATCTTGCAAAATAAACTTTTTCCTTTATTTCCTTCTAATTCAGCCTTTTGTCTTTCGTTCATAAATTCATTCGCAAATTCATTAAAACAAGTATTTTTCGTAAATGTTAAAATTGATTGAATGTCATCAATGATAAAATGAAATCTGTCTATTAGATACCAAAGATAATAAGAAGAAAATGGTTGATATTGGTTGTGTGTTGATGCTAACTGAGTTAATTTTCTCTGTTTCTGGTCAAACTGGTAGATTGTTTGATTTCATGTAATTATACATAAAACCACCAATTGTTTTTTCATCTGTGATAATATCAAAGTTTCTTATTATTGGTAAAAAGTTTATGTAATCATTAATGTATTTTTCATCAATGTGACCCTTTACTTCAGCCACGAATAAAGTATTTTTCTTCTTAATTATTCCCAGTGCTTTTGCTTTCTTTGTTGCTGTATCACAAATGATAACACCATTCAATCTTCCCGGCATATACATTTTATGGTCAGTATATTGAATGAAATCATGAGGATTAGATGAAAATGATGAAGGATATAATGAATTAAAGTCAACACCAACGAAATGAGTCATAATGTTGGAAGTGTCCTCATTTGATACAGTTTTAGTTTCTGGATTATATGAAAGTTTATTAATGTGCGTGATTCCTTTAAGATTTACTCTATGTTGAACATTTGATAGACCACCAGTAATTCCATTACGGAGAATGTGATAAGCTTCAACTGAATCTAAAGTCATTGGTAAATTATTTTTTAATGTATAATTTCTTAAATTGATTCTTAAACGTTGAACATCTTCATCTTTATTTGATTTTACGACATTGCAATAACAACACATTAACTGACAATTTTCTTTGGTATGTGGTTTTTCATTATCGATTCTATCTAATGTTGGTTTATTAGCATATGTAAACGCTTTACCACACATTTTGCATTTAGATGAAAGGATTAAATCGTGATAGTATTGATAGTCATCCATTGAAACATTGTTTTTAGTATCCCTTTCTGCTTTTTCATCTTGTTTCTTATATGAATCAATTTTATATTTCCAATACTTTTTTGTTAATTCAAAACTTGATTCCACATTTTCTTCTTCTGGATATGTTTCGTTAGGATTAAAGTCTTTATATGCTAAAGCGTAACGAATCATTGATGCATTCGATGATAAAGAAAGATTATGAAGCATGTCAATTTTATAAACAAATGTTTCTTCAATAATTTTATCAATTGGGTCAATCATAATTTCAACGTCTTTATTGCAATAATGAATAAAATATTCTAATCTATTCTCAAAATTTTTAGCATCGTTGAGATATATTTGATAATCTGAATCGGATATTGTTTCTTGAGTTAATGCTGAATAAAATGAATCTTGAGTGAATGGTTCCACTTTATATAATTCATCTTCGTAATTCTCCCATGTGATGAATTGATAAGGGAAAAAGGATTTAACACGTGATTTATTGTTTCCGAAATCTTGAGTGAATTGGTCTAATGTTCACCCGCTATATAATTTCTGATGTCAATAAATCTTAATTCATATGGACAGTTTGTTTTCTTTACAATGATTTGCTTAAATTGAGAAGAAGAACCCAGCATTGATTTTATTTTCCATTTTGCAGTGTTTAAATCACGAAGAATTAAATTTAAATCAAACTTTCCCGAATTAAAACCTATGATATTCACTTTATTGAATTCCTCATCTAGAAGTTCTTTAAATGCTTCCTTCTGTTTTCATTTAATGTATGGGACAAAGTCCCGCCGTTTGGTCCGTTTGCGGCTTCATTAATTCTTCATATTGTTCAATATTTGATTTAGCAACTAATGAACAGGTTGAAAATAAAAACTCAATCCAATCAGAAATAAAAGAATCACTTGATGTTAAGCAAAAATTCCTCGTAAATGTTTTATCACGGTCTACGACCTCGCCGCTTCGGTCTGAAAGACCTTCAGGACTCAAAGAGTCCGTTTGCGGCTTTATTTTGACAGTTGATGATACCATAAATGGTTTTAAGTAAGCGTTCAAAGTTGCACATTCAGAAAGTTGAAGTTCTTCTTTAGTCTCTAATGTTTCGAAGTCAAAAGTAATATAATATCTTGTTGGTTTATAATATTCCTGCAAATTGTGAGCTAATAGCCATTGATATATCTTCTGTTTCGTGATATGTGGTGCATATGGTTGTTGTGTGTTTTGCAATTGAACGTCTTGAATTAATCTTCCATTATTTTCTTTACATTTCTCACAATGTTTTAAAAATCTTCTTTGGTTTTTCCTTTCTGGGTCATCACGGATAGAATATACTTCTTCTTTGCAAAAGGGGCAAACTTTATATCCTGTGAGTGCTTCAACGTCTGTAATTCTGTCAGCGTGAAGTTTTCCACATGGACTCTGTGTTAATAAAATATTTACTGTTTCAAATTCTGGATCTATCATTATTGATTCCACTAATGGAAAGTCTACCTTATTTATGTCTACGTCTTCTGGTTGAGGGTCACAATAATAAAAATCAATATTAACGTTTAACATTCTTGCTAACCTCTCACTTTCTGATGAAATGTCAAATCCTTCATATGCATCTATGGCTTCGTTTAAATAACTTCTACGAGTTTTAGGATTAACACCATCAGGAATGTTATAGAAGCGTTTAAATAACCTTCTACCTTCGGCTCTTATTTGATTATCATTCATTTTAGCTGTTCCGTTTTTGTTCATTTATGTAAGAATAAAAAATTAAAAAATAAATAAAAATAAAGTTTATTTTTTTAAAGTCCAGGGCTAAAGTCCATAAAATGAATTAAGAACACATAAATTTTTATCATCTGCGACGTGACGAATACATTTTAATTTACTCAAGAATGCGTACCCTGATACATTAAATCTAATTCCTGTCTTATTTAATTTCACAACTTTGAAAAGGAATGTATGAATAGCTATAAAATGATGAGATGATGTTTTATGGGTTGCTTCCATTTTTTCTGAAATAAATGAATAAATATAATGTTTTATAAGTTTTCATATCTTTTATGTTCTTAATAACGAATGGTATAGACCTTTCAACTTCGTCTTCCTTCGGTGCTGTTCTTTCATATGAAACATTATTAGTATCTTCAATAATGAAACCACAATCGCATAAAATTTTATATGTACCAATTGTTTCTTTTGATATTTTATCTAACAAATCAAAAACTTTATCAACACCTGTACATTTATTTAAATAATAATTTGTGTAAATATCATGGTCTTCTTTCTTAATCGTATTTGTTGCATATGTTACATTTTTCAGTGCTTTTTTGAATTTTTCAGAATCAAGAGGAGGTGAAAGTAATATACATGGATAATCTCCATCGTCAATAAATTGTAACTTATGTTTATGAATAAATTTTGTGCCTTCTTCTGAAAGTGTTTCATCTATTTCACCATCTAATAAATTTTTAGTAGATTCCAAAAAGTAATTTTTATATCTTTCTTCATGAGATTTTTGAACTTCTGATTCTGAAGCTGGGATATTCATTAAACCCTCTACTTCATTCTCATTATATTTTTCAACTTCTCTTAATTCCTTAATTTTTTCATCTATTTCATCTCTTATTTTTTCCAGTCTTTCAATTTCATCATATTCATCATCTTTAATCCGTTCTTCATAATATTCAGGGAAAACATCAGGTTCTTTAGGTTTTTCTTCTTCAGATGTGGGATATAAGAAATTTATAACATCATCTTTATTCATTTTTCCATCATAATCTAAATCATTTAATAACTCCGCGAATTTTTGACAATTTCTTAAATAATATTTATTAACTTCATAACTCGCCTCCTCTAATATATCCTTTATTTCCTCGTTTGTGAATCCCAATTTTTTAACGTCGTTAGTCTTGACACTCATTTTCATACGAATTAAAAAAATAAATTATTCAAAAAATGTAAGACATGAATTTTTAAAGTTTATTTTTCATTCATGAATGATAATTATATCTGATTTCTTTTACTCTCTCGTATATACTAGATTTGAAGAATTCAGAACATTTCCCATAATCTCCTAAATGTTTTCTTATCCCTAACGTGTGCCAGTTATTATATGAAACTGAATAAACTTTATCTTTATCTTTACACCTTTCATCACTTCCAATATATTTATATCTCAGTTTTGATTTAGCATTTTCATATTCATTAGCGTTTAATAATTCACAGTCTTCCTTTTTAAATTGATGTTTAAGATATTCAGGATTTAATACTCTACGTTTATATGCTCCTAACTTAGTCCTAAAGGTTTTTCTACAAAATTTAGGAATTCCATCCTCTTGAATGTCATCAATGATTTCCATTTCATTATTTTCAATTTCTTCTTCTCGTTTATGAGGTCTTTGATTATGACTCCATTGATTCCATGAAATTAAATATTCTTTATCATTATATTTATACCTCATTAGCTTATTTTGGCTTTCATATTCATTTAATAATTCACAATCTTCATTTTTAAATTGAAGTTTAACCCATTCAGGATTTAAACAATGTTTAATTAATCGCGGAATATCTGACATCATCTATATATAGCTTCTTTTATAAAAGATAAAAAAATAAATTATTTTAAAATTAATGTTAATTTTTTAATGTGTTTAGTATATAAATATTTTAATGCATCGTCTATATATAGATGTTACAAAAAAAGTCACACAACCCGCACTCATCTACTACTTTCGGTTGCAATTTTTAATCGTTTTTAATCTAATATCATATATCAATTTTAGTTATATTGTACTGTGGATTGAGCCATTTAAATCGACGAAAATTCAATGTTCAAATAATTTCAATAATAAATCATGTTCAAGATTCGATTCTAAGCAGTTAATTTTATTCTTTATCCTATGAGATATCATGTTCAAAATATATGAATTAATTTCATAAATCACTTCGAAATGCTGGACTGCTTGTTTATTTTTATTTTTATATTTAAAAATATAGCAAAATAAAGTAATACAAGACATTCTTATATCATTTAAATTTGAATACCATACCGGAAAACCCGATTAGGCATTTATTCGCTGATTTGTCTTCTCTTTCGTTTGGGTTAAACAAATTATCGAGAAGATAATGTTCTCTCTTGTATTTCGTTCTCAAAATTATGAATGATCTGAATAAGAATGCAAAATCTACAATCTCATCACCGCTACTGATGTGTTGATATCAAATTTATTCATCAAATGGATTATTTTATGTGACAAATTATTTTCTGCTCAAATATTGAAATGTACAGATCTATAAAGTCACCAACAAATAAGAGAATAATTATTAGAAGATAAATACATCGTCTTTATATCTTTATCACTATTCAAATCGTGACCATTGCTTTACATCAGTATTACATGCAGCAAGTATCTAGCAACCATAATCATAGCTCAGTAGTGTTCATTTTTTTCGATGGTTTTTAATTCAGCAACAAATATTTTTTAGCAATGGCAGAAAATGATCCGAATTTTTATCTCGCAGCAAGTAAAATGCACATACATCAGAAAATGAAATTATGTCTCAACCGTATGAAATGCAAATCTTATTTTTGTCAAAATCTATAACCTTATCAATTTTTTTTTTGAGATAATGATACCTTTAGATTTAAATGCCTTCATGAGAAGATGGTGTATATTGGGGTACATCGTTACAAAACTTCTTTCGGCATTTATTCGGCAGACAATAATCCATCAGCAAACGTTTTATTATTCATGTAACGAAAAAATCTATACAACATTCAAATCTCAATGGTTTAATGTGGTAAACATGTCTGTAGCTATGATGCTTGCAACTCCTTTCGCCCTTCTAAATGGGGGAACCAACGTTTTTAAGAAATTATTTCAATTACCAATGAAATTTCTCTTACTTATCTTCGTTTGCTCATTTTGCGACATCACACAATGCTTTACCAACGGTAGAATGCTTGTTATCGGCGGCCTATCCTTCTCTTCCCTGATAGAAATCCTAACAATCATTTGTATGATTTTTTTCAGAAGAATTTTTCTGAAAAAACATATGTACGGTTATATGTGGATTTCAGTTGGCCTCTGTTTTCTAGCTATAATTAGCCTGACTCTCTCACAGTTGATGTCTTCCTCGTCGAGTTCACTGAAGCCAATGGTTTTATTCGTTAATATCTTCTTGAGCCTATTTAGCGTGCTTTTAATCGCAACACAATATATTATTCAAGAGTACGTCATTCATAATTCTGATCTCGAGCCAGAAATACTTGTTGGTTGCATCGGATTAGGAGATTTCGTTATTATGATGTTTATGATCTATCCGTTTGTATATTTCGTGAAAGATAATGAATACTTTACTATACACGAAAGCTTTTGCCAGGTTTTTGAAATGTTTATTCATTCAAAAACTATAATCTTCTCTTATTTCATTTATATCTGCATAATTATTATTCTTAACATGTCGTTTGTGAAGCTAATCCTGTATACAAACTCGATTTATGCAGTAATGTATGATATGCTCGGTGAAGGTTGCAAAAACCTTATTGAAATCATTAAGGATCTGACTCCCGGCTTTCCATTTAGAGTAGAAAAGACAAAGAAGGCTCTTACTTACTCAATTACTTTTAATTCTCTTTCGATGATTTTAATTATTTCTGCTTTAATGTTTTTGACGGAATTAATTAAAATCCCGGGATTTGAATACCCAGAACCCGAGAAATTTTTGATCCCCAATAACAGATATCTACCTCAGACAGATCTTAGCGAAAAAGAAAATGCGCAATTTGTTTGATATTATCAACAATTTATTTGTAAATGTAGATTATACTATCTTAATCTGATTTAAGTTTTTTAGATTAAATGTGACTGTGGTCAATTTTGTTTTGTTTCATCGCAACAACCACATTATAAGGTGCAAAAGAAAATAGATGGTTATGATATGTGCGCATAGGTTAACTATATTCGTTTCAAAATTATCCATTTTGCTCAAAATTCAAAATCGATTTTTTTTATTTTAAAAGATTTCCAGTTCAGCATAATCAATCATGATTTCAAATGGATTTAAGTCAAAGTTGATTAGATATCTACGCTAAATAATTCTTATTTCATAGAAATAAAATGTTTTTTGTTGGACTAGGATTCTGCGAAAATTGAATATTCTATTTTTGAAGACCTAAGTGATGGTGCTCTTGTAATTACAGATTCCCAGATTATTTATAAATCAAGCGCGCATTTTAAGTGTTCGTGCAAGCAATCCAATATCATGGATAACAAATGCCCGGTCTGCAATAGGATTTCAAGGAATAGTAAGCGAGCTATCTAATCTCTTTTAAATAATATTTCAAGAGGAGAGAGTATAACTACATTTGCAACAAATGAAGATAATTGCCATCATCATTTAAATAATACATCAAATTCTGATTCAAAAAATGGAACTATTAGACTGAATTATGGAAATGTATTTCTAAAGGTGTCAATATTTCAAACTGTATGGCCGAATTCCCTCATCCTGGCGGAATCCCATTAAATAATAAATTATTTGAAGGCAATTTTATGAATAATCACAACATTTATTATTTTCTTATGATAAAAGTAGATACCAATTCGTTTCTGCGAAGGTGGTTTATTATTTTAACAGTCATACTTAAGATTACATCATCCTTAATCAAACTTAGTATTCGAGAAACAGATTGTACTATCGATTATCCACCTTACAAAGCAAAGTTTAGTAAAAAATTCTTCAATCTCATATTTATGTCAGCGGGAATGTCTTTGGCAATACCATGTGCGCTCGTTCTCAATAAATTTAAGCCAAACGATTTAAAAGTTAAAGTTCCTTTTAATATGAAGCTTTTGATTCCAATAATTTCTATGTTAGATCTTTTTAATACATTTTTCAGTAATTTATCAGCACTAAATAAGGGAATATCCTTTGATTCTTTTGAATTAGCTTTAAATGTCATCGCGATCATCATTATACAAAAAGTTTTCATGCACAAAGCCATGTACACTCATATGATATTAGCTACTATCGCTTTAACTTGCTCAATAATCGTTCAAATAACTAATGATTTTTTAACTAATGAAAATAAGCATGTTGCCGTCCCAAACATAGTTTACTTAGTTTTAGCATCACTAATGAAAGCTATTCATGCCATACTTTGCCAATACGTTTTACAAAATTCAGATGTAGATCCAGAACTTTTCATCGGATTTGTTGGCCTAGTCAACCTAGTCATAGTGCTGTTCATTATATATCCCATAGTAAGTCTCATTAAAAAACCATTCTGCCATGAAAACCTTTGCACTTCATTTCGAGAATTTTTCAGTTCAAAACCTCTGATTTTTGGCTATTTCGTTTACTTCTTTAATTGTTTCCTGTACAATGTATCGATAAATAGAGTGCTCCTTTATACAAGTGCCCTTCTTTGGTCGATCTACTTAATCCTGAGTGATGGAATTAAAGGAATAATAGACATTATTAGTTTCCTAATCAAAGATTTCCCTTTAAGAAAGGACATACCGGATGAGCATCTTAATGTAAAGCTTATCTGCACTTCTCTTAATGTTTTCTTTCTTGCAATCGCAATTTTATTGTTTACTGAGACAATAAGAATCCCTTGCGTTAAATACCCTGAAGCTGAAAAATACGTAGTTCAAATTAACGAGATAAATAAATAGAAGAATAAGTTATTTTTATAAAAAATTTTGTTGATATTTATTTCATAGTATTCTTTTTTATATCTCACAAGACATCTCGTAGTTTATTGAATTGATGTTCAGCTATATCTTGAAAATGGATAAATTACCTTATTGAATTTAAATTTAAGGCTATTTTTGAGAAGAAACGATATTCACACAATTGAAAATTTATTCAAAAACGTGACAATTAACCTCATTCCTTACCATTGAATCAATTTAATATATTTATTCATTTTTTAAATAATGCATTTACCACAAATCGGCTATGGCACATTCTATGCTACTGATAAAGTTAGATTAAAAGCAGCTCTTCATTATGCAATTGAAGAATGCGGAATTAGAAGTATTGATACTGTTTGGTCTTATTTTAATCAAGAAATCATCGGTGAAACACTACAAGAAATCTTTTCTAAAGGCATCATTACTAGGAAAGACATTTTTATAACTTCCAAATTATGGAATACTCACCATCGGCCAGATTTAGTTGAAAAGGAGTTACTACAAACATTGCATCAGCTGAAACTAGACTACATTGATCTCTTTCTAATCCATACACCAGCATCATTTAAATCCATTGAAGTTGATGAAAATAAAAAGATAACAGATGACGATGCATTTCCGCGAGATGAAACAGGAAAGATTATCATTGATGATATCCATATCTTAGATACATATCGAGCAATGGAAGCCGTTCAAATTAAAGGACTTTGCAGATTCATCGGAGTTTCCAATTTAAACCAGATCAATTGAAAGAAATTCTTTCAAAATGCCAAGTTAAACCATACGCAATTCAAAATGAATGCCACGTTTACAATCAGCAGAAAGAATTGCTTCAAATATGTGAAGAGAATGATATATATTTGATGGCTCATACAACTATCGGAAGGCCGCCAACAAAAGGTCCTAAAGGATGCGCCCTTATTGAAGACCCTTTAATTGTTAAAATCGCTCAAAGTCATGGAGTAAAACCCTCCCAAGTTTGTATCAGATTTTTGATTCAGAAGTCAAAGAAGTACGTAGCAATACCAATGTCAATGAATCCTGTAAACATCAAGTACAATTCGCAGATTGGCTTTGTTCTTGATGATGACGAAATGAGACAACTTGAAGGCCTAAATTTTAACTTTAATTTTGAAATGCCGAAGAAAAAGATTGAACATTAAAATATTTATTTTTATTTCATTGTTTATTTTATAGTTTGATAGCATTATATATTAAATCAGATCGGATACCATTAGTTAAAGTAAGTAATTAAACTCAGTATCAGATTTTATCCTTCAAAAAATTGCAGATCAAGACTGTTGATCAAAAAATTTTACAAGCATTCAAAACTGAAAAGTATCAATTGTTAAAATTTAATTATATATTAGAATATGATCAAATTTGTTACAATATCTTTTTATCGTCCTAATTTTTATATGGAAGTTTCGTTATCTTCTCAAGTTGAGAAGATCGGACTTCAAGAAGTATTTAGAAGAACATTTCGTATTGATAAACCTGCAGTAGTTGCTGAATTACCAAATAACGAATTCATCATTTGTTCACTTGGTAGCGCTGTTTTTGTTAGTCAGCGCGGAAGCATGAAAACAATACCTCTTAGTTTGTACACATGCAAATATATACCAGAACATGATCTAGTTATTGGCATTACCAATGGCGTTCCTCAAATTATCTTTTTTCAAGGCTCACCTGACTTCAAGCCACTCACAGAACCTATAAGAGTACATTCACCATACATAAATCAGATCGAATATCATGAAAGAATACTAGTTGTCGCTGGTTCCGGTTTTGACATCTTTTCTGTTGATTTAAAACGACTATACTTTGATCCATCTCATCCTATAGTTACTTTAAAACAGCTAGTTTATGTCAAAGATAATATATACGGTTCACTTTTCGATAAATTGTATATTGACTTTTATAGAAAGAGAATTTTAGTTCCTCTCGGATACGGATACTCACTGTACTCGTTTTCTGGCGAAATTATTAAGAAAAACGAATCACTTTTCCCCTCAAAAATCAGAACATCAGCTTATTTTCCATTTACAGGAGAAATCACCGCTTCGGAAGTCGGAAGTGCAAAAAACATCTTCAAAAAGTTTATAATTACAGACTATCTTGGAAATATCCGAGCGTGGGATTATCTTGAGAAAAAGATTTTTGAATACGCACTTGGGAACAAAGTAGTGATGTTCTCTGAGTTTATAGATAAGAAGAATCTTATTCTAATTACAGAAAATTTCGAAGTTTTTATATTTAATTTGAAAATGCAAGTTTTGACGAAGTTATTAGATTCTCAAGGTCAAATTCTCGGAATATCGATATACAAAAACCCTTTACGACTATGTTTACTCTATTTAAGCAACGTTCAAATTTATAATATTTATAATCCTTTGGAATACTATGCAAGCAGCCTCGAACCTCAAGTTCGGATCATGCTTACACAAAACGACCTGTTTTGCACTCGTAGTTCAAACGGAGTCCTCACATTTTATCCAAAAACAAAAGAAGTGCCACAAAACATCATTTCTCGCAGCAGCACGAAAGTTAGAGACATTGTTTATGACACTGACAGGAGAATTTTCTTTATTTTTGAAAATAATGTTTGTGAAATTTTTGATAAAACACAGTCCTTGACAGATCCAGCAAGAAGACTTAATTTTGAATGCTCATACATGTCAATTAGTCCGAGCCACACCCACATTTATATTCTTTCTCCATACAACGAAGTGATTTTGCTGGATTACTTAAATCTATCTATAATTAAGAAGCTCAGAATAGACAATGATACATACATAGGTATAAAATCATCATTGACAGAGATATTAGTGTTCACAAGAAATAGTATTATCACAATAAATAACCAAACTTTGACAATCAAGAAGAATCCAATTGATGAAGTCGTACAAATAACAAATGATAAAGAACTGATTGGAATTTTGTACAAAAATAACGTTTTTACTGTTTTTAACGCGAATTCTTGGCAAATTATTTCCACGTTCAGAAGTACTAGTCCTGTCAAATCTATTAGCATGCTGAATGGATTCTTCACTCTGATTTTAGAAGAAAATCAAATAATTATTGGTAGATACGGCAGATTTGCACAACAGTTCTCATTCCAGTTCGAAATTTATTCTGCTGCAGTTGTTGAAGACCAAAAGTTATATATTTGCGGTCCTAGCTTCATTGCGTACATAGATCTAAAGATTTATTACCCATTTTTGCTTGAGCAGAAGGACGAAAAGCCGATTGTTGGAAAGCCTTTCTTCGAAATAGTGAAGCCTCCGCCAATTCAGATCCCAACTCCTCAGACTTCAGAAAAGAATTTGGAAACTTCTCCAATAAAAGAGCCACCGAAGACAGCAAGAAGGAGTGGAAGATTTAGAGTGCATGAGCCAGCTGGTGGCAACTCGAACACCCCAAGAAGAAGCATTGTTACGATCAGTTTGAGATCGATGCTCGATGAAATGAGGGCAAAGTCAGAACCTGTGTTTCATGAGCAGGATATTGAGCCTGCTCAACTCCCACTTTTGTATCCAAAATAATATTGTTATGTTTCGTAATAAATTTGTTTGTAATTTTTGTTATGAAATATCATGCTTATACGATTTATTCTAACAGAAAAAAATTATCTCTCTCATTTTGCTTATAATTTATTGCTTGTAATGATGTTTTCAATTTCATTCAAAATTCAAAAATTGGAATAATCGCAAAATTCTTTCAGACCTATAATGTTTTGATGAGATATTAATATCTAAGAAGAATTTTTTAATCGAATATTGACAATTAACCTGTCAAATATTGCACGATTTGAAATTTTTGTTAAATTGGTCACATGAAGAAAAATGTGGGGAATTTATCATGGTAATAAATATTTTTCGATAATTAAAATTGAATGAAATTACAAAAAAGCTTTCAAAATTTTTAAAAACTAGATAATGCCATGAATAGAATCATAAGTAAGAATAATAATTGCAATTTCCAAAATTGTTTTTGAATCTGTAACGACAATTTACAAAAGAAAATTACTCAAAAATAAATCATATATATATGGCAATTGTTTTTCTTATTCGAGAGGTTATCGATTTTGTAATTTAATCGTCGTCGTTATCGATTTTGTAATTTAATTGTTATCGTCTTTTTCTAAACGTGCATTTTTACATTAAAAGCAATGCAACTCCAAAATTAATTGGTATTTAGACTTTAATTAGGTGCAGACAAACGAAATGCAGTCCAAATATTTTGGTGATATATGAATTACATAAATTTAGGGAAATTGAAATTATATCTTTTTAAATTTTTAGGAAAACATATTTATAGAATTGTTTAAGTCATCAAAATAATGCAGACTTAGGTTAAATTTTCCAAATTTAATCATTTGCAAGACTTTCAAGCGACTTCAAAATGTCGAAATATAAGTCCAAAAATAAAATTACGATTACAGTCTATCCTCAATTATTATCACGCTAATTATTGAGTGACCCATGCGTTCGTATGTATGTAATACCTTTTAAAAAGGAGATGAGAGAGATAAACTACATTTACAATTTAAATCTGATGTATTTACTTGTTACATTTACAAATGTAAATGTTTCTCGTAATGTTTACATTTTGTAAGTATAACGAATAAAAATGACGCACTTTTTTTACAAAGTCAAATTATTGTTCGATTTTTGCAGCTTGTAAACGATTAATTGTATAAAGCAATTGATATTAGCACGACATAACTGAATAATTCTAATATTGAAATCAAAAGCCCTTAAAATATCATGATATTTTAATTTCATAACAAATCTAGGAGACTATTTGATGAAAACATATCCGATGTGGGTTTTGTTGTATTATATAACTTGTTATTGACTTCTTAGCTTTCCAAATTTTTTTCGATAATGAGAAAACGAATGAAAAATCAACATTTGATCCATTTAAAATTTGATTTGTTTACATTTTTTTACTTTTTGAATTTCAATTTATATTTTCCTCAAGAAATACTTTAGATTTTAAGAAACTAAATCATATAATCTACTAAGAAAATATATTAAATCCTATCATACTCAAAGTTTTGTGATAAATCCGATCTTTTTTATTTTACTTTTATTATGTTTTTGCAAACTTAAGGTCCTCACTAGGTAAAACATAATACTCTTTGAAGTTAAGTATTTTCACAAAGAGAGGACCAACAATATCAAAAGATTGAATAAAGATTTGTATTATTTTATTTATTTTTAAGAACATGTTTAAGAACCCTCATTATCTCAACGAATATTGCATATTTTTCTATTCTAAGACCACCAAAATTACGTTTTAATATAGAAAATAACATATTTATGTGATGCTAAAGTCGAAGTCCTTAAAAAATTAGTATTAAACATCCATTTATTACAAAATTGAAGAAATATGTGTAAAATATAACACATAATTTAGTTATTTGACTCAATTATTAGTTATGCAATATCAGTTGTGTTTATATCTGCGTTATATCACGAGATGCATTGAATTGTCATAATTAGATCACCGTAAATCTTATCAATTTTTGAGTAGTAGAATATGACGGGGTGTGTGACTTTTTTTGTTACATCTATATATAGACGATGCATTAAAATATATTTATTTATAAACCATTAAAAAATGTAAGACATTAATTTTAAAATAATTTATCTTTTATCTTTTATAAAAGAAGCTATATATAGATGATGTCAGATATTCCACGATTAATTAAACATTGTTTAAATCATGAATGGAATCAATGGAGTCATAATCAAAGACCTCATAAACGAGTAAAAGATTCACTACCATAATGAAATAAAAAATAAAAAAATAAACTTTAAAAATTCAATGTCTTACATTTTTGAATAATTTATTTTTATTTTGTATGAAATGAGCGTCAAAACTAACGATGTGAAAACATTAGGATTCACAAACGAGGAAATAAAGGATATATTAGATGAGGCGGGTTATGAGGTTGATAAATATTATTTAAGAAATTGTCAAAAATTCGCGGAGTTATTAAATGATTTAGATTATGATGGAAAAATGAATAAAGATGATGTTATAAATTTCTTATATCCCACATCTAAAGAAGAAAAACCTAAAGAACCTGATGTTTTCCCTGAATATTATGAAGAACGGATTAAAGATGATGATGAATACGATGAAATTGAAAGACTGAAAAAAATAAGAGATGAAATAGATGAAAAAATTAAGGAATTAAGAGAAGTTGAAAATGAAGTAGAGGGTTTAATGAATATCCCAGCTTCAGAATCAGAAGTTCAGAAATCTCATGAAGAAAGATATAAAAATTATGTCTCAGAATCAACACAAAATTTATTAGATGGCGAAATAGATGAAACACTTTCAGAAGAAGGTACTAAATTTATTCGTAAACATAAGTTACAATTTATTGATAATGAAGAATACCCTTGTATTACTTTCACCACCTTTAGATTCCGAAAAATTCAAAAAAGCTCTTAAAAACGTGACATATGCAACTAATACGATTAAGAAAGAAGATCATGATATTTACACAAATTATTATTTAAATAAATGCACAGGTGTTGATAAAGTTTTTGATTTATTAGATAAAATATCAAAAGAAACCATTGGAACCTATAAAATTTTGTGTGATTGTGGTTTCATTATTGAAGATACCAATAATGTTTCATATGAAAGAACAGCACCGAAGGAAGACGAAGTGGAAAGGTCTATACCATTCGTTATTAAGAATATAAAAGATATGAAAACGTATAAGCATTATATTTATTCATTTATTTCAGAAAAAATGGAAGCAACCCATAAAACATCTTCTCATCATTTTATAGCTATTCATACATTCCTTTTCAAAGTTGTGAAATTAAATAAGACAGGAATTAGATTTAATGTATCAGGGTACGCATTCTTGAGTAAATTAAAATGTATTCGTCACGTCGCAGATGATAAAAATTTATGTGTTCTTAATTCATTTTATGGGCTTTAAAAAATAAACTTTATTTTTATTTATTTTTTAATTTTTTATTCTTACATAAATGAACAAAAACGGAACAGCTAAAATGAATGATAATCAAATTAGAGCAGAAGGTAGAAGGTTATTTAAACGCTTCTATAACATTCCTGATGGTGTTAATCCTAAAACTCGTAGAAGCTATTTAAATGAAGCAATAGATTCATATGAAGGGTTTGACATTTCATCAGAAAGTGAGAGATTAGCGAGAATGTTAAATGTTAATATTGATTTCTATTATTGTGATCCTCAACCAGAAGACGTGGACATAAATAAGGTAGACTTTCCATTAGTGGAATCAATAATGATAGATCCAGAATTTAAAACAGTAAATATTTTATTAACACAGAGTCCATGTGGAAAACTTCACGCTGACAGAATAACAGACGTTGAAGCACTCACCGGCTATAGAGTTTGTCCATATTGTAAAGAAGAAGTTTATTCTATCCGTGATGATCCAGAAAGGAAAAACCAAAGAAGATTTTTAAAGCATTGTGAGAAATGTAAAGAAAATAATGGAAGATTAATTCAAGACGTTCAATTGCAAAAGACACAACAACCATATGCACCACATATTACGAAACAGAAGATATATCAGTGGTTATTAGCTCATAATTTGCAGGAATATTATCAACCGACAAGATATTATATTACTTTTGACTTCGAAACATTAGAGACTAAAGAAGAATTACAACTTTCTGAGTGTGCAACTTTGAACGCTTACTTAAAACCATTCATGGTATCATCAACGGTTAAATTAAATGATAAAACATATACGAGGAATTTTTGCTTAACTTCAAGTGATTCTTTTATTTCTGATTGGATTGAGTTTTTATTTTCAACCTGTTCATTAGTTGTTGAATCAAATATGAGTCAATACAATGAATTATTGAAGTCGCAAACGGCGGGGACTTTGTCTCATACATTAAATGAAAAACAGAAGGAAGCATTTAAAGAACTTCTAGATGAGGAATTCAATAAAGTGAATATCATAGGTTTTAATTCGGGAAAGTTTGATTTAAATTTAATTCTTCGTGATTTAAACACTGCAAAATGGAAAATAAAATCAATGCTGGGTTCTTCTTCTCAATTTAAGCAAATCATTGTAAAGAAAACAAACGTTCCATATGAATTGAGATTTATTGACATCAGAAATTATATAGCGGGTGGGACATTAGACCAATTCACTCAAGATTTCGGAAATAATAAATCACGTGTTAAATCCTTGTTCCCTTATCAATTCATCACATGGGAAAATTACGAAGAAGAATTATATAAAGTGGAACCATTCACGAAAGATTCATTTTATTCAGCATTAACTCAAGAAACTATATCAGATAGTGATTATCAAATATATCTCAATGATGCTAAAAACTTTAAGAATAGATTAGAATATTTTATTTATTATTGCAATAAAGATGTTGAAATTATGATTGACCCAATCGATAAAATTATTGAAGAAACATTTGTTTATAAAATTGATATGCTTCATAATCTTTCTTTATCATCGAATGCTTCAATGATTCGTTACGCTTTAGCATATAAAGACTTTAATCCTAATGAAAAATATCCTGAGGAAGAGATAGAATCAAGTTTTGAATTAACGAAAAAGTATTGGAAATATAAAATTGAATCATATAAGAAACAAGATGAAAAAGCAGAAAGGGATACTAAAAATAATGTTTCAATGGATGATTTTCAATACTATCACGATTTAATCCTTTCATCTAAATGCAAAATGTGTGGTAAAGCGTTTACATATGCAAATAAACCAACATTGGATAGAATCGATAATGAAAAACCACATACCAAAGAAAATTGTCAGTTAATGTGTTGTTATTGCAATGTCGTAAAATCAAATAAAGATGAAGATGTTCAACGTTTAAGAATCAATTTAAGAAATTATGCATTAAAAAATAATTTACCAATGACTTTAGATTCAGTTGAAGCTTATCACATTCTCCGTAATGGAATTACTGGTGGTTTATCAAATGTTCAACATAGAGTAAATCTTAAAGGAATCACGCACATTAATAAACTTTCATATAGTCCAGAAACTAAAACTGTATCAAATGAGGACACCACCAACATCATGACTCATTTCGTTGGTGTTGACTTTAATTCATTATATCCTTCATCATTTTCATCTAATCCTCATGATTTCATTCAATATACTGACCATAAAATGTATATGCCGGGAAGATTGAATGGCGTTATCATTTGTGATACAGCAACAAAGAAAGCAAAAGCACAGGGAATTATTAGAAAGAAAAATACTTTATTCGTTGCTGAAGTAAAGGGTCACATTGATGAAAAATACATTAATGATTACATAAACTTTTTACCGATAATAAGAAACTTAGATATTATCACAGATGAAAAAACAATTGGCAGTTTTATGTATAATTACATGAAATCAAACAATTTACCAGTTGACCAGAAACAGAGAAAATTAACTCAATTAGCATCAACACACAACCAATATCAACCATTTTCTTCTTATTATCTTTGGTATCTAATCGACAGATTTCATTTTATCATCGATGATATTCAATCAATTTTAACATTTACGAAAAACACTTGTTTTAATGAATTTGCGAACAAATTTATGAACGAAAGACAAAAGGCTGAATTAGAAGGAAATAAAGGAAAAAGTTTATTTTGCAAGATTTCGCTTAATGGATCATATGGTTACGATGCAATGAATACACAAAATTACGCAAAGACTAAAATAATGAATGCACAGAAGGCACGCGTTGCATGTATGTCAAATAAGTTTAAAAACATAAGAGAAATAGGTGAAGATACATATCAAGTGATGCTTAAAGATAGATTTTATAGATGTGATACATGTTTACAAGAGGCATTCTTCACTTTAGATAATGCTAAATACTGGTATTTGGTTTTCATTTATGATTTTATGTATAAATGCATGGATGTTAATCGTTTTCATTTCATTGAAGGTGATACTGATTCATCTTATTGGGCAATCGCTGGCGACCCAAATCTTCCTAACACTCAAGCATTTCAAGCAATTGTTACCGATAAACAATTTTATGATAAAAACATTTTCAAATTCGCACCATTTGATTTCTTCTGTTTTGATGAGAAATTTAAACCTAAATTAAAGAATAAAGCTGAAGAAAAAGCACATGAGAAGAAGTTATTGGGTTTAGCAATTGAGAAACAAGGTGATAACATGGTTGCTTTATGTCCTAAGTGTTATACATCATTCAACGGTTCAATCGATGGAAGTGATTTTAAAAAGATTGCACAAAAAATGAAGGGTGTTAGTTTAAGACAAAATAAGCAATTAACACCTAAAAAATATTTGGATATAATAAATGATAAAGTGATATTTGATGGTCAAAATATTAATTTACAACTTAAAAATGGGTCAATGACTCGCTTAACAATCGGTAAGACTGCATTAACAGGAGCACACACTAAGGCTGTATGTTGTGAAAATGGATGTTGTATGCCATTTATTTAAAATTTTATTCTTAATGAAATGCCACAGAAGAGACAAAAGGAACCGTTAATGATGGTTTTGATACTATGATTCAAAGAGGCGGGCACCCTTAAAACATTGATTTTATTTTTATATAAATGGATAACGTAGATTTAAAAATTTTAATTGCTGATTTAGTATTTAATCAAAATTTTCTTGATTATTATGATTTAAAAGCATATCTCCAAAAATATAATAATAATATAACGGGTGATGATATGGAATATTATTATCCATATTATAAAAATGAAATTTTGAAATATCATGATAGAATAATTTCTGAAATTAAAGACAAAATTAAAAATAATGAATATTCAAAGGGAAAAACTAAATCACAACTTAAACAGTTGAAAGATTTCAAAAATAAAGTATTAACAAAAGAAGATATTGATGAATTATATAAATTATATAATCCTGAGCCGCAAAAGCCAAAGGACCAAAAACAAATGGTGCAAAACACCCAGGTCCTTCAGACCATAAATGAAGCACAAGCTTTAATTTATGATTCATTAGTTAAACCATATTCAGCCCGACTTTTAAATGAAGATCAACTTTTGGAATTCATCCTTCAACATAAACTCGAAGCGGGAAAGTATATCAAACCTTTATATACAGCATATTTAAAACAAATGAATAGAATACATCCAGAATTAATGAAGGGGGGAATGAAATCCAAAATCAAAGCAGATAAAATTAAACCACTTGCAACACCAAAACCTCCAACGACAGTACCTCCTCCTCCTTCAGTTAATCCTTCATCATTCACTTTATTATATCCATTTCAAACATTAAAGAAACAAAAAGATTTTAAAAAGGATTTCAAGATATTAAATAAACCAATTGACCCGAAAATTCAACCGTTAAAGGAAAAATTTAGTCGCCCTTCATTTGCTCCATATCCATATTCATACGAAATCGATCATTTAGAATATTCAAAAGGAAACGTTACTTATTTATTTGCCATTAACATTAACACTAGATATTTATATTGCATTCCAGTGAAAGGGAAAACAGAACAGGAAACAAGAAGAGCTATTCAATACTTACTAGATCATGAAAGAGTAGATAATATCAGGGGTGATGGTGATAAAGGATTTCAGGCAACTATGACTCATTATTTCCCACAAATTAATTTTTTCTTTTCATCTTCTCCATATACGTTTCATAATAAAATAGTTGATGCGGTAATGAGAACTCTTAGAGATGCGTTAGGGGTTAACGGTCAGATATACTGGGATGGAAATCATGACTCCATCATACAACAGTTAGTATATTATTACAATAATACATGGCATAGAACAATAAACATGAAACCAGTGGAAATGAAAAATGATATTTCAAAAGAATGGGAATATATTAGAAAGCAAATGGAAAGGTTGAATGATGTTAAACGTGAACAAATTAATTCGGGGCTCATGAATTTTAAACAAGGGGATAAAGTTTTGATTCATCTCGATTATGGAAAAACTGATAAATCAATGACAAAAAGAAGACGAAGATTTGACACAATAGCTGAATTTGTTAGATATATTAACGGCAATGCATTAGTTGAAGTTGACAATAAATTAATAGAAATTCCAATTTATTTTATTACTCCATTATATTTAAATAATATTTAATTTTTTTTATTTCGTAAGAAATGAGTGACAACAAAGCAGCCAAGAGTCCAGACGATGAATATAAAAAGAAACTAAACAGAATTAAATCAAAAATATGCTATTACAAAAAGAAGCCGCAATGTGGTGGGGTTGATGCCCATAAAACTAATGGAACTGAAAACGATAAGGAAATAATTGAAAAATTAGAAACTTACCGTTCAATCCTTAAACTGGGTGAAGCAAAAATAAAAGAATTTAATAGAATAAATAAATTGATTGGAAGAGATGAATTTAATAAAGATGAATTTTTAAACTCTATCCAAATTTAATTTTTATTCCTCTTCGACAACGTCTCGAATAACTGAAGGTGCTACCAGGTCACCAGGTCACCAGGTTAATTAACTTCTCTGAAAAAATGAGACAACATGACATTTAGACAACAACACAGGAGGAAGGCAGTTATGAATTATTTTTGAAGAACTGAAAGTGTCACTATGTCACCATGTGTCACTCGGTTAATTAACTTCTCTGAAAAAATGAGACAACATGACATTTAGACAACAGTCCTGGAAATAAATGTTTACGTTAATGATTACGTTAATGGTTTCAGGTCATTCAATAATGAATTATTTTTGAAGAACTGAAGGTGTCACTATGTCACCATGTGTCACTCGGTTAATTAACTTCTCTGAAAAAATGAGACAACATGACATTTAGACAACAACACAGGAGGAAGGCAGTTATGAATTATTTTTGAAGAACTGAAAGTGTCACTATGTCACCATGTGTCACTCGGTTAATTAACTTCTCTGAAAAAATGAGACAACATGACATTTAGACAACACAGGAGGAAATGATTTGTCATGACTTCATCGTAATGAGTGTAAATCAGACAAAAATAAATGATTACGTTAATGGTTTCAGTTCATTCAATAATGAATTATTTTTGAAGAACTGAAGGTGTCACTATGTCACCATGTGTCACTCGGTTATTTAACTTCTCTGAAAAAATGAGACAACATGACATTTAGACAACAACACAGGAGGAAGGCAGTTATGAATTATTTTTGAAGAACTGAAGGTGTCACTATGTCACCATGTGTCACTCGGTTAATTAACTTCTCTGAAAAAATGAGACAACATGACATTTAGACAACAACACAGGATTAATGCAAAAATAAATTCCAATCATACTTTATAAAGCATCATTTACAAGTATTTCATCGTCAGTAAATGAATCCTCATTATCGTTTGGTTCAACCTGTTTATATAATCCTTTCATTTCTTCTTTCAAAACATAACACCATGTTTGTTTACCATCTATTCTTCTCTGTTTCTTATCACATTTATCTTTAATGCTCATTTGAAAGTTTTTGTCTTTCATGTCTGATGGTTTGCAGAATAGAGCATTTTCACACGTCATACCTGCACTCAATTCATCATAATGTGTATTTATCCATACATCTAAAGGATTTGTTGATAATTCAATTAAATCTTGTTTGGCTTCAGTCATCGGAATGATTCGTACATTAAATGATGAAAGGTCATATTGCATAAAATACGTCAGCAAATTATCATAAAATTCCTTTGTGCATGAATCCATCAAATTCTTGAAGTAATCAAATTGACCCTTGAATTTACCATTAACTCTTAAAACTACGTATCTTCTGTCTCCAACTTCAGTTTTGACAGGGTAGACGTTGTTAGTTACGAAAATGAAGTTTGCAACGTTCTGTGCTGTTCTTCTGGGTTGATTCTTTTCATTAATTCTAATCTCATTATCCGTTATAATTGATTTCAAAGCGTTGAAGTTTGCGAGTCTGTCTTCACCTACATTCTTGAGTTCATTAAGTACAAGAAACATTTTATTCTCAACTACTGAATTGAAATTACCCGTTAGCTCACTTATTTCAGTAATGTTTTTACATGAATAACCAGCGAGAAGTTCAGAAATAATGTCTGTAAATCTGTTTTTACCTGTTCCCTGAAGTCCTTTCAAAATAATTGCTGTTTCATTCTTGATTCCGGGATGTTGAATCATTGATGCAATCCAACCAAGAAGATATTTATACACTTCATCGTTATTATCACAAATGGCTTCTTTAATGAAATTCATAAACATCTCAATTTTTGAGTAATCTGGTTTTTCGAGAACGTTGTATTTATAACCCTGAAACGTTGAGAAAACATC